TTTCTGGGACGTCTTCATGAAACCTGTTTATAGTCAGTCTTTCCCATTAGTCTGTGTATCCCTTACTGCTGCATTCATTTTTTAAGTATTTCTTTTTACAGTGTGAGTTCTTCTAGTGCAGTGCACTGTCTAACTCACAGTAGATTTTCAGTAAATAGTAATGCGGCAGTTACATGACCGTCTGAGATTCCTTCAACCTTTATGATTTATGATTTTATACTTATAGTAGATTTTTAGTATTGATTCAAACATCAGAGTCCAATTGTTGTCCAATTAATGCTTGTCTCAGCCTGCCCCCAGATTCTCTCTGCTCTATCTTGGAAACAATTGAAGCAGGCTGAAAAAGAACCATCATCTTGTGCAATCTGGAAACAGTAAAGCATGCAATATATAATGAACAAGGCAATGATGATTGGGAAGTAACTAACATTAATTTTTATTCTTATTCCAGGTTTGACTTGGGATAAAGTTAATTGACTTAAAAAGCTCAACATTTAAAGAATAATAATGAAAATTATTATTTATAATAACACCAAAACCTACCCAAATTTTTGGTGAGGATTAAATAACATGATGTTTGTAAATTTGAGCTTACTGTAGCCCTTGGCAGGTAGAAACTCAACAAATTACAGTTGTTTTGGTCATTGTTACCACTGCATTAATCTCTAGAAGGCTTAGGCAAGAAGCTGTGTGCACTAACTGCTTTCTGGTAAACAAGGATCTCCTTCCTCAAAATTAAGTACAGTACAGTGATCCTCATCCAATCTACAGAACACAGAAAATTTAAAAAATAATATTTATTTATCTAGTATGTATGGGGGCATGCTCCAGTCAGTGTATGTGTCTGTGTATGTGAGTGTATGTATGTTTGTCTGTGTGTGTGCAAATGTGTGTATATGTGTATATGTGTGTGAGTATGTGAGTGTGTGTGTGCCTGTGTGTCTGAGTGTGTGAATGTGTGTTGAGTGTGTGCCTGTCTGTGAGTGTCTGTGTGTCTGTATTGTGTGAGAGTGAGTGTGTCTCTGTGTGTGTCTGTGTGTGTGAGTGCAAAAGTGTGTGTCTGTGTGTCTGAGTGTGTGAATGTGTGTCTTGTGTGACTGTGTGTGCCTATGAGAGTGTGTATGTGTCTGTGTGTGTGTCTGTGTGTGAGTGAGTGTGTCTGTGTGTGAGTATGTGTCTGTGAGTGTCTGTGTATTTGTATGCGTGTGAATGAGTGTGTGTCTGTGTGTGTGTCTGTATGCTGTATGTGTGTCTCTCTATGTGTGTCTGTGTGTGTGAGTGTGAAAGTGTGTATCTGTGTGTGTGAGTGTGTGTGTATCTATGTGTGTGTGAGTGTGTGTTTGTGTGTGTGAGTGTGTATGTCTGTGTGTGTCTATGTGTCCGTGTGTGAGTATGTGTGAGTGTGTATGTGAGTGTGTGAGTGTGCAAGGACAGCTTACAGGAATCAGTTATCTTCTTCTACTGCATGAATCTCTGCTTGAACTCTAGTCATTAGCCTTGGCATAGACACCTTTCCCTAGTGAGGCATCCCCAGAGCACAGAAATTCTTGTGAGGAGCCACATTCTTGGTTCCTCTAAGAATGGTAACTTAGTTCCACTATTTACCTAGGAGAGATATAAACTCATTAGGTACAAAGGTTGCCTTGTGATGATTGAAAACAATAGAGTGATCTCATAATCTGGCCCAATTTTAGTAAGATAGAAATGCAATTTTAAGCCATAACTAAGTTTTCATGACAATTAAGATCATCTTGTACTTGCACAAAATAAAAGAGAAGGTTTTGTTTCTACAGCTCTCCAGACTATTGTGTTTCTAAGGTAGAGGAAACAATTTTACATTGGAGACACCATTGATCTGGAGGACAGATTGACTCACTGGCTTACTCTGGGATAACTTGGGGCAGTCCTTCCTTATCCACAAACATTCTGATTCTTGAATGGGGATGAAATCTGTTGTATTGATTCAGTTATTTTCACAGTCTCAAATGACTCTCCATATGGGGAGGAGATTGAAAGTCACACAGGCCTACAGAAATCTTAGGTGTTGCTGGGTGATGTTTCTGCTTTACTGGCACGCTCCTTCCTCACCGTGACCTCACGAAGCCTTCTATAACAGCTCCACTAGTTTATAGTGAGGAAACTTACTTAATGCATAAACTGTGTGATCTGAGTCTGGTTGCTGTGTTTCTGAAGTGACACATTATCAGTCTTTTCATTAATCTACTGGTGGAGGAAAAAAATTGCAGGACTTCCAACAGCATCAAAAATCTTCTCTTCTCACTTAAGACTTGAGTTATATCCCACTCTGTGCCGGACTACACCTGCCAAAAACTAGCACTCTCAGCGATGGCCAGTATCTTCTGCTTCATTAACCTGGTTCTCCACTTACTGTACCTTTCTCTCACATCACAGGAACACGGAACAAAGCAAAGTGCATCCCTAGCCCCAAAGCCATCTCCAATTGTTAACTGTTCTTAAAAGAAAAATTAGTTTTCTTCAACGCAACCTCACTGGGTATACAAACCAAGTACAGGCCCCATGCCCCACAATAGATGGTCAACACAAAACAAACTCTATGGCATTTTTAGAGGTATTTTGTCTCATAAAGCTTTGTCTGACTTCTCTCTCTCTTTCTCTCTCTCTCTCTCTCTCTCTCTCTCTCTCTCTCTCTCTCTCTCTCTCTCTCTCTCTCTCTCTCTCTCCCCGTCCCTCCCCAGACTTTTGTTTGTGTATTACGGTTCCTGATTTTGTGTCTATGGAATTTCTGTGTATGCAGATATGTGTGCCCCTGTGTGTATATGTTTCCTGTGCTTTTTCTTCTCTCTTTTCTTCTGCTCATTTGTTTGCTTTTTCATCTTATTTTATAATCATATTTTCTTAGCGATTCCTATTATTTTTCTGATGGGAGAAAAGCAAGAGAGTGTGTGGACTTTCATAGGTGGGGAGGTGACAGAGAGCTGGGAAAAGCTGGGGAAGGCAGGTTCCAACAGGCAGAGGCTGTACATTTCTCTGGTGACCCTGAAAGAGTGTGAGCTTCCTGTCCGCTTTCCCTGGGAAGCATCACGAGAAGCAGCAAAGGCAGAGCTCACTACACTGCTGGTCTCCAGAAGGAGACCCCAGCAGCTCTAGCGTGCGAAGGGGCGGGCGCTGTCCATGCCTCGTAGTTTTGGTAGATCTTCAAAGATGCTCTTGCTGGCACTGAGCCTTTCTTGGTTTGTAGATAATTTTGCTGGTATTAGACATTGCCCACTTCTTCAAGGGTGTTTCTCTTTTTATTACATCGATCTCAGAATAAAAGGCTAACAGTCCTATTACCAGTTCATACTTTATGCAGAAATTTATGAAGCTGAATTCTGGAAGTGTAATTACTTTGGCAGATGTGTTCAAATATGTCCTGGAACTTGAACATTTCTACTTCTTAAAGACATGGTTTTAGCTGTTAAGAATGGGCTGGATGCTTCCTGAACATAACACTAGTAACACAGACACTGAGATCGACAACTAATAAATGGGACCTCCTCAAACTGAGGAGCTTCTGTAAGGCAAAAGACACAGTCAACAAGACAAAAAGGCAGCCCACAGAATGGGAAAAGATATTCACTAATCCCACATCTGACAGAGGGCTGATCTCCAAAATTTACAAAGAACTCAAGAAGCAAGACTCCAAAACACCAAATGATCCAATTAAAAAGTGGGCTACAGAACTAAATAGAAAAGTCTCAATAGAGGAGTCTAAAATGGCTGAGAGACACTTTAAAAAGTGCTCAACATCCTTAGCCATCAGGGAAATGCAAATCAAAACAACTCGAGATACCATCTTACTCCTATCAGAATGGCTAAAATCAAAAACACCAATGACAGTTTATGCTATAGAGGATGTGGAGAAAGGGGAACGCTCCTCCACTGCTGGTGGGAGTGCCAACTCGTACAGCCACTTTGGAAATCAGTATGGATATTCCTCAGAAAAATGGGAATCAGTCTACCACACAACCCAGTAATTCCAATCTTAGGCATACACCCAAAAGATCCAAATTCATACAACAAGGACGTCTGTTCCACTATATTCATAGCAGCATTATTTATAATAGCTAAAACCTGGAAGCAACCTAGATGCCCCTCAACTGGAGAGTAGATAGAGAAAATGTGGTACATTTACACAGTGGAGTACTACTCAGCAGAAAAAAAACAATGGAATCTTGAAATTTGCTGGCAAATAGACAGCACTAGAAGAAACCATCCTGAGTGAGGTAACCCAGTCACAAAAATAGTAACATGGTATGTACTCACTCATATATGGATTTTAGACATGGATTGGGGAGTGCCAGCCTACAATCCCACTCCCAGAGCGTCTGGGAGTCAGGGAAGACCCTAAGAGAGATATGCATGGTACCCCAGAAAAGGGAAATGAGGCAAGATCTCCTTAGCAGATTGGGATCATAAGGGGGGGAGAGTGAGCTCCAAAAAAGAGACAGAGAGAAGAGGAGGGGAGAGGAGGACATGGGGGAGCAGGAAGGTTGAGTAAGGGGAAGAATAGAGGAGAGCAGGATGAGAGATACCATAATAGATGGAGTCATTATAGGTTTGAGGAGTGATCTGGCACTAGTGAGATTTCCAGAGATCTACAAGGATGACACCAAACTAAGCAATAGTGGAGAAGCTACATTAATTGCCCTTCCCTGATAATGAGATTGATGACTACCTTATATGCCATCCTAGAGCCTTCATCCAATGACTGATGGAAGCAGAGGCAGACACCCACAGCTAAACACTGAAATGAACTCCTGGAACCCAGTTGTAGAGAGGGAGGAGTGATGAGCAAAGGGGTCAAGACCAGGCTGTAGAAACCCACAGAGGCCGCTGACCTGACAAGGGGGAGCTCTTGAAGCCCAGACTGATGGCTGAGAGACCAGCATGGGACTGATCCAGACCCCCTGAACATGGGTGTCGGTGAGGAGACCTCAGCAATCTCTGGGGCCTTGGGTAGTACATCAATATTCACCACAGTGTACGAATGAACTTTGGGAGCCCATTCCACATGGAGGGATGCTCTCTCAGCCTGAACTATTGGGGGAGGGGCCTAGACCCTGCCCTGAACGAAATGACAGATTCTGGAGGTCTCCCATGGAGGAATGGGAGTGGGATTGGTTGGGGGCTGGATAGCTGGGGGTGTGGGGGAGGAGGGGAGGAAGAGGGAACTGGGATTGACATGTGAAACAAGCTTGTTTCTAATTTAAATAATAAAACAATGGGCTGAACTTCACAGTGAATTACCCATTCTGGGTTTGTCCTTAGAGTCTTAGTTATTCCTTCCAAACATGGATGCATCGGAGAGATCTTGCCATGCCCCAAATGCTAGGACATCTGTTGTGTGAGTGCTGCATGCACTAAGCTAAGCTGTGTGCACTAGGCTGCTAGTATTTGGCATCTAGCATCTGCGGATTGCACTTCTCCTTTGCTAAGAACTTCCTAACCTTCTTCCCAAGGCTCCTTTTCCCTGGGCTGCACCCACAAGGAAGTGGGGGCTCAGTATACCTTTCTCTCTGTGGGTGCAAAGCAGCCATGCTGATTTTCTAAGGGATTCCACTAAATGAACAGTGCTCTAATTTTAGGTGTTTCTTCCTGGGCTAGAGATTGAACCTAGGGCCTGTCAGTACCCTCCCACTGGGTTGCATCCCCAGCTTGGGTTTGGGTTTTTAATTGGTATGTCTCAACAGCTCATCACTTCATATTTGCTCCCAAACCTTTCTATTAAAAAAAGAAAAGTTTTTGGCCTCAGTATCTAAAGAGGGCAATCAAAAATCATACTTTTTAGAGGTGCCAGTCACTCTATAAATGTCCTCCTGTGGTGACTCGAGGGACCCCCTTTCATTCAAAGTTAATTGAAACAGCATTCATTGAGAGTTGTGCAACCCTAGTTTTTGAATATTGATGATCCTCATGACTTCAAAGGCAGTATGTCTGGCATCTTGTATGCAGATCTCCAGTTTTCTGTGGGAATGGATCTTGGTTAAGGGTATATGGACCCTAGAGTGACCCTGTGAGAAAAGGTGAAGAACTCAGTTTAAACAAAGCAACAAACCAACAGCAGCAGCCACTTCTACACTCATCTTCCAAGCATTCCCTTTACTGCCTTTCAGGACTCTATTACAATAACAAAACAAGCAAAGTAGCCTTACAAGTTATCTACAACAATGGTTGTCAACACTTGCAAATCACGGATGCCTGCCTCATGAAGTAAAATTGTATATTTTCCATGTTCTATACTTTGCCTCTGAACTCAGACATTTTATAGAAAGCACCTGAAGATGCCCCGTTGAGGAACCATCTAGGATCCTATCACCTCAGTTTCACCATGGAAAAACGGGGAGATGAAGTGACTTTCCCCAGTCTGTAAAATATCTAACTATAAATTAGAGTGAGAGAAAAAGAGGGGCCCAAACCAGTTCACATGATTAGAATTCCAGTTCCATTTTTGTTCCCTGGAGTTGTGTGCCCCATTTTCTTTTTTGTGTACAGAATCTCACAGAAATAAAATAATAGAGAAGAGTTAACAGAGGGGAGTTACATGCCCCCATTTCTAAATTAACTAGAGGATCACACCAGTCGAAGCAGTGAACCTGTCCAGCTGTAGGCAAGATGGAGTTCTTCCAGTCATATTGTAGGTTCTGTAAACCAGCCTGTCCCTGCTTTCTGTGGCTCATTCTTCTGGCTCCTGTGTGCTCTCCTGTGTGCTTCTGTGTGCTCCTGTGTGCTCTCCAGCACCAATGCAGGCCTGACACCTTTGTTTCTGCTCTCCTTCTCCAGGAAGCTGCCTGCGAAAGGTCAGAATTCAAGGAAGTGATGTCGTTGACATTGAATATTTACTGAATCTTAAGTTTTCTCTGGGCAGTGAACCAAGTTATAATCCCTGCCCCATGGGTTTGGAGCAGAAATGTCACTGACTTGGAAGGCGTTTTTATCGCAGAGGTTACGACCTTGCCCAGCTGGATTTGTGTCTGCAGTCTTTGCTAAGCCTTTCTCTGTTGGTCATTCCGTGGAAGCCCCTGGCAGCTACTAACCAGCAGCCTCGTGAATGGCCTGAGTCAGGTGGCCTGGTCTCCTTGTAAGGAGGAAACGTGAACAGCGTGGATGTGTAAGCAAGAGATCAACACTTCTCCCAGAAGCCAGACAGCCAACAGTCCACATGGTCACATAGTGAGTTCCTCAGCCTCCAGTGCTGACTGGGAAGCTGACAATCTTGTGTATGCATGCTGGGCAATGTTCCCAGGAGGATTGTGCGTAAACTTAGATAATTGTGCCTGGGTAGTTGTCTTTAACTTGATGTATGACTTTTTTTCTTTTCTTTTCCCCATACTTTGCTTAATTCTAAATAGACAACTAGAATAGTTTGCTGTCAATAGTCAGGGAGAATAAAACAAGCACATGATGTGAAAGTCGTGAACTCTCAAAACCAGTTCACGTGCAGAGTATGTACCACCTTCTCGGAGTCTCTGCTCTTAGAGACCTGGGAACTGAGGTGTGCGTTCCCGCTTGAGGAAAGGGTGACACGTAGGAACTGAGGAATGGCCTGAGTCACACTCTGAGCTGCTGACACAAACTCCCGGATCCTGCTGGGCTGCCTCACCCCCTCCTTTACTGAGGCTGGTATTTGTGGTGAAGGGGTCTCTTCTAGTGTCAGTTCTGTTTCTGTAATAAAACACTGACCAAGAACAACTTTGGTGAGAAAGTTTATTTGGCCTTCAATCCCAGGGTCCGTAAGGTAGGAACTTGAAGGTAAGCCTGCCTGTACTTCTACATGGTACTACCTCTGACCAAGAGACTCACTCATACCCAGAAAGGCATGGCAAGCACCATAGGAGGTGCTGCTTCAGGGCTGGCAGGTGGCTTTCCGGGCCACCTTCTTCGGGTATTGTACTCCCACAATGGGCTCCTCAGCTGACATTCTCTTCTAGGAGAGTTCTAGGCTGTATCTAGTTGACAGTTAAAGCAAAGCAGGACAACAAACGGTCGTCCTCCATTCTCTGTCCTTGCATAGCTCTGTCTTGTGGTTTGGCCACTGTCTGCTCCTTCTGCAACAGCCCAATTATTTCCTTTTGACCACTGTCACTTGGCATGTTAACTCCTGCTTTGGTTGTCATTTGCCTTTCTACCCTGAAGGTCCTGGGGCTTGGTTTGCCAGTTTCATATGGGAAGCTCATGTCTTTTTATAGAGCCTCACCCACATTCTCTGATTCCATTAACATCCCATTAGCTAAGTGTATACCTCACCCCTGCCCCTCCTCCTTCCTCAGCATGAAGCAATGACCCAGTTAAACAGGGCTCTAGAGCTCAGGGCTCCCTGTCTGTGTCTGGACTATCAGAGCTCAGCAAGTGCTCAAGTTTCAGCGATCCATACAGGGCCTTCTGGCTAACTTGTTTGTCTTCGCAGTTGAAGAGCCCTGTGTTTAGAAAAGAGGCTTAAAACAAACAAAAACTGGCCTTGTTTTCCACCGATTTTTTTCTGGGTGATTAGGCACTGCCTGGCCTGCTGGGAGGCCTGGCTTACTTCCTCTTTGACTGGGGTCACGGATGAAATGGATGGGAGCCTATGGCCTTCTAGTTTTTTGATTCTGCTGTCTTCTTGGGCGATGCATAACTGAGATCAGCATCTGCCCAGCCCTGATCTGCAGCCTCCTAGTGTGAGGTGGAGCCAGGGACCAGATCCAAAGCTGAGGTGCCTTCCGGCCTTCCTCCTTCATCCTGAGGCGAGCTGTGGGTCAGCAGCTGAACAGCCCAAGCTCTCCATGGTGAGAAATCAGGGCAGTTTCTGTGTGAAACACAAATGAAATATCTGTGTGTGTGTGTGTGCATGCGCACATGCACGCATTTGCACATGCTCTTGTCTGTGTGTGGCTCTGATGGCTTGGCAGACTGCTGCCGGAGGAAACGCCTGTCAGTGAGAGAGGACAGTCTAAGGCTGTGGGGCTGAGCTGTGTGGCTGTAGGTGCAGCACTTTGCCCCTCTGTGTCTTGTTAATTCTTGTCTAAAAACTATGTGTGATGTCGGAGCCTCAACTATGAGGAATAGACAGGTCCCATCCAACAACAAGGTCCCATTCCCTGAATCTCAAGACTGGAATTTTAAACTTAATTTTCTGACTGTTAAGTTCTCCATACAGTCTTCACTGTTACCAATTTACTTTGTCAAGTTAAGAAAATTGATGTGTACTGGGCTAAAATCTTTTCCATATCAAACTATAAGACTTGCCATGTTGAGATTTTAAATCCAGATTAAAGCTCTCTCATGCAATGTCAGTATTGGTCATTTTTGAAGACCGAGGGCTTCACGGACTGACAGTCATTTCTGAAGGGCAGGTAGCCAGCGAACCTGGAGAGACTCCCTTCTTACCTGGTTACATCGCTTCTCAGTGTTTACCACTCAGGATAGACAGAATAGAGGCTCTTTTCTCAAGCCCTCTTCACTCTACTTATCCCCAGTACAACCGAGGCCTGGTTTCCATGACAACTCATGGCCCATCCCACTTCAGAGAACTGTCTTAGAGGGGCCTGATACTCACTACTGGGTTAGGGTTGGGCTAGGGTTAGGATTAAAGGGCAAGGACGAGAGGGTTAGGGTTAAATGGTTAGGGTTAGGGTTAGACACTAAGGGTTAAAGGGTTAGGGTTAGAGCGTTAGGGTTCGATGGTTAGGGTTAGAGAGCAAGGCTTAGGGTAGGGTTAGAGATGGGCTAGGGTTGGGGTTAGAGGACCAGGGTTAGAGGCTTAGGGTTGGCCTAGGATTCGGGTTAGATGGGTAGGGTCAGGGATACTGTTAGTGGGCAAGGGTTGGAGGGTTAGGATTAGGGTTGCTGTCACTGGCTGCTTTCTCTTACTACATAAAAGTCACACCCAGGGTCCTGTTACTCACTTCCTTCAACTTTAATACAAGTGTATGTCACCAGGTAGGTAAGAAACTGCTTGTAGAATCTTGATTAGGTAATGCTCTATACAGACCCTAGGAGGAAATTACCTCCCTGCAGTGCCAGCCACAAATCCACCCAGAATCACTAGTCTCTGTACTTTGGGTACAGTTTCAGGAGCTCTTCTGGGGCAGACTCTTCTGTATGAGGCAGCCGTGATAATAACAGTAATCTGAAAAAGGAATGTCAGCAAACACCCTGCTGTGGAGGCATTGGTGCCATTACCCCTTATTTTGTGTCTCCTTCACATCCCTCAGCATATGCCTTCAGGGACAGAAGACTTCATGTCCCTTATATTTCAGAGTAACCTCAGCTTTTCCTGCTAAGATCAGATTCACAGCCAGCCTCTGTCTTTAAACGCCAGGCTCCCCTTTGCTAGGGTGTTTGCCTTTCAGGGTTAGGGTTATTGGTTTCCCTTGAATTCAGTACCAAGAAACCTAGCCCTTTATTCTCTTGACAGTGTCCTACATCTTTTGTTTCATATACACATCATAAAGACTCACGTAGACTCAGCAAGACTGCTTCGAGTGCCGGTCATTTAGTCTGCAGCCTCTCCCGTCTAACTTACCTTGTAGGCCATCTGTACTCTTCAAACTGTAAACCAGGGGCTGTTGTGGAGCACAGTTCTGGGGCATTCACTGCTGGTTACAAAGCGTTACGCTCTTGGCTTACATCATTTGTCTCTGTCCCCTTTCCACCGTGGCTCCCCCTCCTCCACCCACTCGTGGTTTGGGGGTTGGTCCAGGTGTCCAGAAATATTGAGGTATTTCTTCTCAATAATGACAATCTTCTTGGGTGAACTTATCCACATCCAGCCTTTCAACTACTATTTGTATGTCAATGACACTGTCATTAACACCTAGCCCACCCCTCAGCTGATCTCCAGACCCAACAATTCCATCTCCTCCTAGGTATTTTTCTTTCAGGATATTCTCCACATATTTGGGCTCTGTTTCTCAAAGTCTAGAAGTAGCACGTAGGTCCCTCCCACTTCGGTCTCTAATGGTATGTTTCATCTTCAGTCATCTGTTACCTTTTATTCCAGCAATCCAAGTGTACAATGTTACACTTTCTCCCTCACCTGTGTAGGAAACTGACCCTCAGCTCCTCTTCCCTCTTCTCTGTCTCTCCCAGTCATTCCTTCCACTCCGTTCTCACCATCCATACGCCGACTCTGGCTGGGACCACTGTAACAACCGCCTAGCTGTCCCAGCCTTCTGGATTTGCTTCCCTGCATCCCCATCATGCTAGAGCTGATGGACAATACCTGTCTAGATCCATTCAGAGTCTTCCAGGGAAAATTCTACTCCTTTTCTAGTATCCACTATCCCATTCCATAAGCGCCAAGTCCGGCTGCTTTGTAGCTTCCCTGTGACTGAAGTTACACTCAGCCAGTAGCATTCTGTCCTTACTGGTCTTCGCTTCCTCTTTTGCTAATATGCATGTTTAGCTGTGAAGACTTTGTTGGTGTTATGTTTCAAGTTCCTTCTACAATATTTATTAGAGTCTTTATGCTTGGGTCCATATAAAAGACAGTTAAATACCCAGTTTAGTGTCTTATTTCTCAACACAATCAGAAGGAGTATTGGGTATGCATACAGCATTCATGTGCACCTTGTGATTAAAAATTTGTGAAGCATTGTAGATTTTCACACCAACATTCACTGGAACACAGAAGCACTATCTGTTCTGAAGCATGCACTGTCCTCTAGTGGCCATCACTGGAAGGACACATCCAATCCACAGTACATGATCTGTTGTTCCTGAGAGGATGTTTGCTATTATAGTTATTTCCCCGAAACATGCTTTGAATAATGTCAGATTTTAATTCACAATATTTTTATAGAATTAAAGAATGATCCTGAAGTGCAGGCTTGTAATCCCAGCTATTGGGATACAAAGGTGTGAGAACCGAGGACTTCAAGTTCAAGGTCAACCTGGGAAAAACCATGAGATGGGGACATAGCTCCATGGTATAATTCTTGCCTGGCATGCAAGAGGCCATAGATCCAATTTCCAGTATTTTACCCACACCGCAGTCCAAGAGCAGTTTTGGAGCAGAAAGTACAACATGGTTCTTCAGGAGTGTTTAATTTGGAGTTAGGAGGCCAGTTCTAGTTACAACATCCACTCCCACCCACCCACCCCCACTGACAACCAGGGACTTAGAACTCTTGTCGTCTAATTAAGGGAAGTCTGACCTCAAGCCTGAGTAGCCAGAAATTGCACTCAGGGAGTAAAGCATAAAGTTTTCACTCAATCCGTAAACGTGACACACTAAGACCATGGAAGACAGGAGCTTCAGACAACTTGACTGATATCCAGATCTATGCTTCGTATGTACAATGTTAAATAAATGTCATATTGAAGCACACACACTCTTGGGAAGTTCTTAAGTTTCAATTTGATGCTACAGAAACCTGCAAAGAAGACTGAGCTGGAGCAAAAGTAAAGTTTCTGTTTTGGAGCTTTTAAGAATTTGCTCTGTAAGGAGAGCAAAGTCGCCAAGACAAGCCACCGAGTCTGGTGAAAGCGTCATTTAACTCCAGTTGTCCTCTTTGGTTTTCAACCAAGAAAGAGAAACAACAAAAGCCTAATGTAATCATTATATAGCTACACAACACTGATTGATATCATGTAAAATTATATTTTATGTGATTTATGATGTTGCTATCAAGTAACTTTAGAGATTTTCTAATATGATAGAGCAAGGGTGAATTACTAGAACACTACTAAAGAATATTGAATTATGTTCATAGGCACACTGGTAGGAAAATGCCGCAAAGCCAGGAACACAGTGGCTGGGAGTCAAGGTGTACGCATCCCATAGGGTTGCCCAGAAATGCATGCAGCCACGTCTGCGTATGAGGCTCACTCATATGCTTGCTTGTGCGAAGTGTCCCATGAGCACCTGCTTGGCATCTGCCTCTTTAGAAGAAAGACACAGCTGAGACCAAAGATGCCCTGCTGTTCTGGGCAAAGAACAGACTGGATGCAGGGACACTTCAGTTCACTGTGACTTTGTAAGTCCCCTGGGCATTCCCAAAGACCTGGAACTAAGAAACGGTTTCACACATTTAGAAACCAATAGAATTGTTGCTTGACATTTTCTTTCTTATGCTTCCAAAGCTATTCTGAAAACTCTTTCCCTCCCTCCTTTCCTTCCTTCCTTCCTTCCTTCCTTCCTTCCTTCCTTCCTCCCTCCCTCCCTCCCTCCCTCCCTCTCTCCCTGCCTCCCTCTGTCCCTCCCTCCCTGCTTGTCTCCCTCCCTGCCTGTCTCCCTGCCTGTCTCCCTATTTCTTTTTACCACCATTACCTCCTCCTCCATCTTGTTCTTCTTGTGTCAACTTCATATACTCAGAATCACTAGTTGGAGACCCTGGAAATGACTTTTAAAAGAGAGAGAGAGAGAAAGAGAATGGACAGACTTTATGGTGTCCACTCATATTTTCGAGCCTGAAATTTGCAGCACAGAAGTGTTTTTTACTGCTACTGCTCACATAAATCTCAGTAAAAGCTAAGTATTAGACTGAAATGCTAAAAGAGAAATGAAGAAATGAGAATAAAATCCACTTTTGGTTCTGCTTTCATGTTGCAAATGCACTTATGCATTTTTGAACTCAGGCTCCAGTGTGCCGGGTCAAGACTGTGCTTGGTTTTGCATAGTTCCTTGTTTTATAACCTACTGCCATGCTTCACACTTTCTGTTTTGCTTGTGCTCTGCTTTGTTTATTAACCCCCTTCTGTTCCTTCTGCATTTGAAATTCTTGTTTATCATATTGCAGAACAGTTCCATGGGGTGTGGTTACAGTATTGGTAACTCACAAAGCCGACTAAATGGACAAACATAATAAAATGCCTGGACTTTGACTCTGGAGGAGGACAATTTGATGGATTAATGCTTCCTCAAAGATAACTGCTCTGAAGTTTAGTTCGGAGAGATTCAGTTTTCCAGGTCCTGCTTGCTTTGCCTGCATGTGAACTCCTGGGAAGAGGGGCTTTTGGATAGTAGATGCCCAGCCCATAGATACAGTCGCTGAAGTACAGTCCAGTTCCCTGTCCCTGGGAGGCTACCTGGCTGCGTGAGCCTTAGAGCCTTGGCTTCTGGTCCTTGCTTAGACCTTTGTACCTTGGCAAGCTCACCTCTATGCTTCTCTTGCTCTGTGTCCACTCCAGTGGTGGCTGTCCTGAGTGCCCAGTCATGCACTGGCCTGTGGGTACTGAAGTCATCAGTAACAGCAGCAGAACCTGCACTAACAGGAGAATAAAAGTGCATCCAAGGGAAAAGACAGTAAGAACATCTCTCTTAATACTTGATAAGAAAAAATGGAGACCAGGTCTCTGGCTTCATTGGTTCTTAGCAACTATCTTGACTACCATGAGTTGCTGAGGCTGTCAGTAGCTTGCTCCAGACAGAGACTTCTGTATCCCAACTTACCAGTTCAACTAGTAGCTGACCGACCCCATTGGCCCAGCCCTGCAGAGGACGCAGGAAACCCAATGAGCTGGGTGTGGTTTTCTCCCCATCATGACCTCCAGGGTAGACCCCTTCCTAATGTTCTTGATGGAGCTAGGAGGACAGGCTACACCCAGACAGAGACCAAGTGCTTCACGCTGTGTGGGTGTGGACACTTCATCCTTCACACAACACCTCTGTACTCTTTTCCTAGAAAAGATGACTGGTCAGGGTTTTAAAAAGAGTCAGTATTAGACAACAGAAAGACATGTGTCCTCACTGTCTCAAGTTTATATTTTGCAACACATAATGACACCAATTAGACAAGAACATAGTATTTTCTAATTTGTGCTGTTGTCTTTCTAGGATCTGGATCATTTTCCAAAGGAGTGTGCCTTTGTCTCTGGAAGCTTCTGGTCCTTTATGATGAAAACAATGGGCTCCTTCTGCCCTCAACGCCTTTGGCAGTTTAATATATTTTGGACTTTGTTTTGAGTTGTGTTGATCCGTTCAGGTTTTTTTTTTTTCCCTTCTGGTGTTAAATGAGTTAACACAATGACCTTGGGGAAGTCCCTAAGGTTATGAGTTGTTATCCAGGATTAAATCAGTTTAAAGGTTCCTATGTCACACACTCCAAAATTCAGAAATATGAGTGTTGTGCTCATTCACTCAAGGTCACTGTTCCAGAGGTTTGAGTCATGATCAGCTGCCTCCATTTTTCTAGGCCATGGGTAGGTAGAAGATTAAGACAGAAGGACATGGAAGAAAAAAGTTACAAGCTTATGATGGCCCAGAAGCAGGAAAGAAGGCTAAAGAAAGGACTCAGGGCATGACAGAGAATTTGAGAACTCCTTTTCATTGACCTCCTTCATCGAACCTGGCCCCATAGGACAGCTGGTCTTAGTTGTCAACTTGACACAATCTGGAGTCACCCTCGAGAAGGACCTTAAGAATATTTGTGAGGAATTACCTTGATTATTTCATTGGTATGGGAGGAGCCGTTCATGTAGGTGGTACCATCACCTGGGTGCAGGATCCCAGACTGTGAATGAGAAGCAGGCTGAGGACTAGCACTAATCCCCTGCTCTCGTCTCTTGACTGTGGGTTACTGTGGTTAGCACTTTCAGGTTCCTGTAGCCTTTATACCCCACAAAAGACGGACTATCACTTGGAACCTTGAGCCAGACAAGCCCGTCTTCCTTAAGAAGCTTCTATCAGAGTGTTTATCACAGGGGCTGGAGGCCAAGCATTCCACTTCTGAAACACTAGCCATCTATCTGTAATGCCAGGAAACTAAGATTCCATTGATGGACTAATACATTCACAATTCAATCAATTGTCCAGAGCCCATCAGTGAGAAACCAAGTCTTTAAGTCTGAACGTTTCTGGAGGACTCTTCTTTATACCATACTATTTCGAATGTCCCAAATACTCATGTCCATCTCATAATGCAAAATGTTTCCAAGATTTCCCAGAGTAACAGCAATTCTAGCATTGCTCAAAGTTCAAGGTCAAAACACCCTATGATGTGCAAGGCAAAGCCATAGATCCAAAGGGAAAATTATACTCCTCCAACAGACTATAGTGGAACGCACAGGCTAAGTGCTGTGATTCCAAAGGGAAGCCATTGGAGCACTGCTCTGTGTAAAAATCTTGATTTCAATGGCACCCTCTTGCAAACAAATTTCTATAGGTCAGGCTATTTATCAAATCTTTCGCCTCCCAACTCTTGCTACAATGTTGACTGAAACAAGTCAGCAATACCGGGGGTATGTCCCTGAATGCTGTGATGCTTTCATGTTTTCTCTGAGATTATTCCATCACTGTTGAAACTGCCTCGACCAGCAAGGAAGACGCAACGCTCGGACTCTTCTTTAAGCAATTTATTCAGGAACCTTGAACAATCCCGGGGAGTGCCG